AAGAAAAAGGAAATTTGATGAAAAATCAAGTAAAAGTATTCTGGTCGGCTATGAATCGAATGGGTTCAAGTTGTGGTCTCTGAGAGACAGAAAATTTGTTGTTGCTAAAGATGTGGTTGTGGATGAAGTGAATATGATAGAGTCTAGGGCTGATGGTTCAGTTATCCAGAATGATAGTATGGATAATGAATGTTGTATCCAGAATGAGAGTATGGATAATGAATGTTGTATCCAGAATGAGAGTATGGATAATGAATGTTGTATCCAGAATGAGAGTATGGGTAATGAATTTGGTAGTCCAGAAAGAAAGTATGGAAAATGTTGATCAAAATAGCCCGAATGATAGTACGGATATTGAAGACCAAAATAAAAATAAGAAAAAAACAACAAAATTTTGAAATTCGCAGAAGCGAAAGAATAAAAGATAAGCCACTAGTACCTTATAAGCTTTTGAATAATTGTTTGCTATATTCTCAAACTAATTTTAATGACATACCCAATACTTACAATGACTTAAAAGATAGAGACGACAGGCTAAAATGGGAACAAGCGATTAAAGAAGAGTTAGATGCTCATTTTATTAATGAAACTTTGAATCTTGTTGAGAAACCTAATAATAAAAACATTATAAACTGTAGATGGGTTTTTACAATAAAGAAAGATGAGTCGGGTAACCCTATCAAATATAAAGCTAGACTTGTTGCTTGTGGTTACTCACAACAATATTTGATTGATTATGACGAAACCTTTGCACCAGTAGCAAAGATAACTAGTTTCCGCTTTATTTTAGCCTTATCAAATCAATACGATCTTAAGATACACCAAATGGATGTAAAGACGGCGTTTTTAAATGGACATTTAGAAGATGAAATTTATATGTCCCTTTCCCAAGGTCTAGATTGTAAAAACAACAAAGTCTGTAAATTAAATAAATCAATTTACGGTCTTAAACAAGCTGCCAGATGTTGGTATAATACGTTTGAGAAAATAGTAACAGCAGCTGCAGGTGTTGGTAGTTTGAGTTGTGCTGTAGATCATTGCATTTATTTTCTTGATTAAGGAGATATAAATAAAAATATATATCTGTTATTATATGTGGATTATCTGGTCATAGCCACCTCAAATTTAGATACGATGTCCAGATTTAAGGACTATTTAAAAGGTAAACTTAGAATGACTGACTTGGGGGAAATCAAATATTTTATTGGTATAAAAATAAATAGATGTGAAGGTAAACTTGAATTAAGTCAAACTGCTTACATTAATAAAGTCTTAAATAAATTTGGTATGAATGAATGTAATCCAGTTGGCACTCCACTTCCGAATAAACTAAATTATGAAGCCTTGAATCTAGATGAAACTTATAACGCACCATGTCGAGAGGTCATTGGGTGTTTGATGTACATAATGCTATGTACCCGACCTGACTTAAGTACAGCCATTGGTATATTAAGTAGATATACAGTCAAGAATAATAAGGAATTAAGGAATGTCTTAAAAGGGTCATGAGATATCTGAAAGGTACTGTCAATTTGAGCTTATGTTTTACAAAAAGTGTTAATTACACAAATGTTTTTACTGGGTATGTGGATACAGATTGGGCTGGTATCGAGAACGATAGAAAGAGTACTACTGGTTATGCATTTAAAATGTTCGATTCATGCCTTATTTGCTGGAATACAAAAAAAACAAAATTCTGTTGCAGCTTCATCAACTGAGGCCGAGTATATGGCATTATTTGAGGCAACAAGAGAGGTTATGTGGCTAAAGTCTTTAGCGCAAAATATAAAATTGCAATGTAATAAACCTATAAAGATTTTCGAGGACAACCAAGGTTGTATAAGCATTGCTAATAATCCCACATGCCACAAGAGAACGAAATATATTGATATTCAATACCATTTTTCTAGGGAACAAGTTGAATAAAAACTAATAACTATTGAGTATCTTCCTACAGAAAACCAACTGGCAGATATTTTGACGAAGCCCTTGCCTGGACCCCGATTCATCGCACTAAGAGATCAAATGGGTCTTAACTGATGTGGAGTTGGATTTGTATATTACAAATCTCCTTGCTTTGAATATATATATAATATTCATACATTCAAAAATTAATAATAATAATGAATATTTTTTTGTTTTCTTATTTCTTTTATATGCAGCTTATTTCACTTTATTCACATATGAGATATTAATAGTTAATATTTTGTATTTTCCTAATTTAATTAATAATTACTACGTTAATATTGTAATACATTCAATTTTTTTCTGGGTTTTTTTCTGGGTTTCCCCAACCCCTTGCAACAAATGTTGGACTAATTTTTGTAATACTCCCCAGAGTGCTCGACTTATCAATATAGAAGTTTAATCATTGTATTTAGTTTATATTAAAGTATAATCTCTGTTTATTTTGAGGAGGTGTGTAAGAATATCCCTATTAAATAAGATGTGCAAAATAAACATAGCTTGTGCGATAAATAATCGCATGGTTGCACTCTCTCATATTTGAGTTTCGATATGTCTACATGAGCTTACCATCTCTAGTTTTTCTGCCCTTTTTTTTCTTTTTGATTTGAGAACGAAACAGATAAGTCGAGCTATAAAAGCTATATTAAATTAACAATATAAAAACCATAAAATCAAACGTGTCGTGTTTTGCATTGGCCTGGATTTCAACAAATTTTAAACTACATTTTCTTGAAATTTGGGTTTCATGTATTGGTAATGAAAATCATACATTTTCCATTTTGATAAGTCCAATACAGCGAAACCCAAATACATTGGCTTGTCAAATACCACAGAAAGTTTTTTCATTTGGATGGCATAGAACTCGTCATTTATTTTAGTTGCACTATGAAAATTGAATTTTGAAATTAAATTTTTAGCACATTGTTTTTTCCGACAGAGTTTATGAACATCTGTAGACTCCCATGTAGTTACTAATTTAACCTCTACACGTTTTTCAGGATTTTCCATAGTTTTCTCATTGTTGGAGCAGTAGATTAAGTTTTATTGTTAGTTTTAAGGAAAGATGAAAAGAAAGAATTAATTGAATATATGCAGCCAAAATGTAAACAAATCACCTTAAACCAATGTACAAAAGCTTATCAGTTGCACTCAAGCTTGAGCATAGCCGAGTTGTTGTGATCTAACTGATAAGCTTTTCTGTTCGTGGCTATGCGAAATGGTATGCTGCTCTCGGGAGAACATTAACCTATCGAACCTCGAAGCAGCTGGCAGTAATAAACTTTGGAACAATCTTCGTTTTGTTTTTTTTTCGCTTTCTTGGAAATTCCCCAGCCGCTTGTCGCCAGTCTTTTTCCTTTAAATTTTATAAGTAATTTTTCCGGGAAAACTCTCCCGGATTTTCATTGGCGCCCGCACAGACCCAACGGCTAGTTTTGTTATTAATTTTCGCGTCGGAAAAAGCAAACAAGTGCACCTCGTCGTTTCGGAACCTGTTTAGTTTTTTTTTAATTAGTTGGCGAAAATTCTAGCTGGTGTAATTCGGCGAAGCAGTGAAGTGTTGGCGAAAGCAGTTGGATACGGAAGGAAAGTGCTAGGAAAATTATGCCTAACAACAACCAGTTATTCAGTGCCAAAAATTAAAATTTTTGAGAGCACTCCACTTTATGTGTGTATGCGTGCATTTTACATGGTATTAATTCTTGGCACCTACTTATATTGGAAATATTATTACACCCCAAATATACCCAAACTTCCGAATAATAAAATAAAAAAGTGAACTGCTTTTAACAAAACTTAAGGTGTTTTAAATTCTGCGAAAATTTGAAAATTTTATGTGCGGTATATACATACGGTGCAACTGCAAAAGTACAGCTATATCTACATACATATGTACAAACATACCAGCGTTTCGCCGCCAATTTCGATTCCCTTTTGTGCAGTTGCAGAGCAGTTATTTGTCTGCTATATATAAGTGTCAGTGGCTTCTTTGCTGTACATATGTATGTATGTAAAACAACACCTCGGTTAATTTTTAGCGCCAATTGCAGCGGCAGTGGCTTTCAAACTGTATATAGGCAACCGTTCCTACAAAACTCGGCAGTGAATTTAAGCCCTGCTCACAGTTTTATGTTTATATGTACATATTTGCCTGGATATTAATTCGGTGTATATTCTAAGATTCGGCCTGGAGAAAAATTTTAATACAATTGTTGGCTTTTTTTTGTCGGTGTTTGTGGGCATCTTTAACCAGTACAGGATCCACTTAAATAGTTTGGACAATTTATTTGTCAAATAAAATTCAACATATGTGCATTTTTCGGCTTTGGTTAAACGGCAAACACACATACAAACATATTTTGTGCATTTTGGTGGTGCTTCTGTGCACATATAACCCTTATCCAACCCAATAAATTTTTTTTGGAGGAATTAAATTTTTTAATTTTTAAAATTTAAAATTTAGATATTGTTGGAAATTTATTAAGGAAGCATTTTGAGCATTTTGGAAATAAATTTATTTAACCCTTGTGTGCGACTGTTTTTACTTGGAATATTTTATTTATTTATATTAACCTAAAATGTCTGAAAAAGAAAAGGAAGCATCGTCAAAGCCTAGTGCTAAACTAATAGTGGCTATGCAAAAACACGGCAGGGTGATGAGTGACATTCAACGTATGAGAACGTCATTCGAGGAAAAAACCATTTCATTCGATAGGTTTCAAATGGAATACCGAATGCAACTTCTCGAAACATATTGCAAGAAATTGATGGATATCCAAGGAGATATCGATGTACTAAATCCAGCGAATGATTTAAGAGCGTCTGTTGAGGAGATGTGCATAATTACAAAAGCGTTATATCGGTCCGCGATGAGAGAATTCGAGCCTCAGAGACTTAGTCAGAGTGATATAGGTGGTTATCGTCATTCGTCTCAGTTACCAAAAATAAATCTACCGAAATTTAGTGGAAAACATTCCAACTACAAAAATTTTATAAGTCTTTTTGAGAGTTTAGTTCACAACGACCCATGTCTAACAAACATAGAGAGATTTAACCATTTGCTAACATGTCTAAAGGATGATGCATTAGGTACTGTGAAAGCTTTTCAAATTTCGGATCTAAATTATGAGAAGGCATTGATTAGTCTAAAAAACGTGTACGATAATAAATGTTTGATCTTTTTTGACACGATTTCTCAGCTGTTTGACCTCCCGCAGGTATCAAAACCCTCTGCATCAGGCTTGAGCTCTCTTATAGATGAAATATCGGCCCTCTACGCATCGTTAAAGTCCTTGGGTAGTGAAAAGGAAATAAACAACGCAATTTTTATTCACATAGCAATGTCCAAAGTAGATCACACAACAAAATCCAGATTTGAGGAACAGCTAGATTATAATACGTTGCCGACATGGTCTGATTGTGCGACTCTGTTGAATCGGCGATATCAACATTCAGCTGCTGAAGAGTCAACCAAAAGTAGAGGGAAGCCTAACCAAGGTTTGTGACGAACACGGTGTAGTGGATACCGACTGGTTGCATACTCTGCCTACGGGAACGGCCTAGCTCAGGGAAGAGGCAAGGGGGTCGGTTACTTCCTAATCAGCATCACCGCCACACAATAAAAATTTGTAGACAGAGTTAGGAAAGGGGCTACAGTCTTCTGGAACGATACGAAGTCGAGACAGGAAACCTTGCTGTTGGAAGAACTAAGGTGGTGAGGTTTTTCTGCTTTTCCCGCCCTTCCTGTAAAGAAACAACAACGAATTGCTGCTGTCCTTACCCATCTATATTGAAATCGATCAGCTCAGGTGCCCATAAAAATTATAAATTTACTTCATTTCCAATATAAAAATTCAATACAAAAACATAATTGCTTCTTCTTCAGACTCATGATTAACCTAAACCCTTACTCCTAATTGGTCCTAATTCCACAAAATGAGTTTAATCTAGCTTAATTTACAAATTGGAATGTAATATAAAAATGCGTAGATAAAGAATTATTTGTATGTATGTAAAGTAGGAGTTAAGGTAGAACGTCTATCCAATCATTTGGATATGGACTGACTATTCATATTTTTTTTTCTTCTCTAGAGCCACTGTTACATGATCAAGTCACAATGTTTACTCACGCAACCATCCCTCGAAGTCCGCAGGCCTGTAGACGAGAACGCTGGATGTTTTGGGGTGATCAGGTTAAATGCGAATTAGATTATGGAGTTTTGATGTACATGTTGCCAAAATCTTATCAATGCTCTACAGGAAAAGAAGATGAGTCTAGGTACGATCCAATATAATTTACAGAAAAAAAATAATAAAAATTAAATTCTACTTACTAACACTTCCTAGAACACTTTTATTATTACTCTATTTAGCGACATATTAGTCGGCTCTCCTGAAATCATTTTCGCCACAACCACAACACACGTGCAGCGTCGAACGGCTGGGCTCATCCACAGCCAACGTTCGGCTGCTGCTCTCAGTCCCACTGGTGTACCGTGTTCGGTGCTATCCCAATTTCCGCGTTGGTGATATTCACTATTTATTTTGCGTTATAGACAACTTTTAACTTTGGCGTTTTGATCGCAAAAGAACAAAGAACAAAGAAATTCGGTTGTCAAAATTGCCAGATAGACGGGGTTGCCAGATTGTTTGCCTTAACAGCTTTAAAGGGCTGTAACAGCGATCTGTTATCGACTTATTTTTATACGACTACTAACTATCGTCTACTAACTATCAACTACGGTTTGTTTACCTTTAGAGTTTATCTTCTCTGTTTATTTTTCATAAAAAAATAATATTCGTACCCTCACAGGTTCCAATAGAGGATATTCCAAATCGTCCTTCTCATGCACACAAGCAGATCGCAGACCTGAATCAAAATGTCGATATTGCTCAGCGACAAACCATAGTTTAGGCAGTTGTCAACCTTTCATGGCTTTATCAGTGATCCAACGGTTAGATTTTACGAAACACAATCGGTTGTGTATTTATTGTCTGAATCCAGGTCATCCAGTCATGAAGTGCAAAGCAGTAAAGTGTCGCGTTTGCTCCAAACCTCATAACCCACTTTTTCACAGATACGGAGTAGAGCAGCAACCAACTTCTTCGGGATCACTTCCTCAAGCGCAAGCCCAAGCACCTTCAGTAGCATTTGATCATCCCAATCAAGCCCATTCTTGTCATGTTGCAAGTAGTGACCAAGTTATTCTTGCTACGGCTGTCGTTAAGGTACGGGATAGATTTGGACAGTTTCAATTAGCACGAGCTCTGTTAGACTCAGGGTCTCAAATAAACTTTATGGCCGAGGACTTAGCACAGCGTTTGCGGTTAAGCAGGAAAGAATCCTATTTGAATATCACTACTGTTGGGGAGAACGACTCGGTAGTACGGCACGAAGTCCACGCGCCGATTCATTCTCGCGTCAATGCTCATAGTTCCGCTACTGATTTTTGGGTATTAAGCTCCATTTCATCATATCAACCAGATAACGAAGTCAATCGTGCACAGTGGAAAATTCCAGCAAATATTGAATTAGCAGACCCTCGTTTTCACAAACCTGCAAAAGTAATCTTACTAATTGGGGCAGAATCCTTTTTCGAACTTCTCAGCGTAGGCCAAATTAAATTGGGTTCAGAACGTCCTTCAATCCAGAAAACTTTCTTAGGATGGATTGTTTCGGGAAAGTACACTCAACGCGTATCGAATAGTGTTCAAGTATGCAGCGTCACTGGTAGTGAAAATAAAAGTTCTCTTGACTCTCTTGTAGAACGTTTTTGGGAATTGGAACACGTCCCGGAGAGATCGAAGGCTGTGTATACAGCTGAACAAGTTGCTTGCAAGCAGCACTTTGAGAAAACAGTACACAGGCTTTCGTCAGGCCGTCTTGAGGTAAAGTTGCCATTTAAGACAAATCCAAGTGTTTTAGGCTTACCCTTCGAAACGGCAAGGCGCAGATTTCTTGCGTTGGAGCGCAAGCTTGCAAATAATCGCGAGTTACATGACATGTATCAAGAGTTTATAATAGAGTATCTTAACCTTGGGCATATGTCGCTGCTTCCAACACCTTCTCCAGGACAACACTATTACATTCCACATTAATGTGTCCTGAGACCTGATAGTAGCACCACAAAGTTGCGATTTGTTTTTGACGCTTCAAGTAAAACGTCAACCTTGATCTCATTAAATGAGACTCTAATGGTGGGTGCAACGATTCAGAGGGAGCTTTACGCTATTTTGGCAAGATTTCAATTAAACAAATATGCCTTGACTGCTGATATCTCGAAGATGTATAGGCAAGTTAACATTGCCAATGAAGACAGAAATTTCCAACTTATCGTGTGGAGGGAAAAGTCGACGCAAGCTCTCCAAACCAATCGCCTCAACACTGTCACTTATGGAACAGCCTCTGCTCCATTTTTAACCATTCGTTGCCTCTTTGAACTGACAAAAATTTACTCTGAGTCACATCCTGTCGCATCAGAGGTAATTTCAAGTGACTTCTATGTAGACGATATGCTCACAGGAGCAAACAGTTTAGAAGAGTTGGAAGTCATTCGCAAAGAAGTGACCAAGGTGTTAGAGTTCGGGGGTTTCCAGCTAGCCAAATGGGCAACAAATCACCCAAGTTTGATGACTAACCAGGGATCAGAAAAATCGCTTATGTTCAACACTTACGAGTCTGTAAAAACGCTTGGGATGAGATAGAACCCTCAGAGTGATGCCTTTCATTATAGTTTGGAGGATTCGTTTCAGTCCCTACCACCAACTAAACGCAACATTTTATCCGTCACAGCCCGATTGTTTGATCCCTTGGGATTGCTGTGCCCGCTGATCACGAGAGCTAAAATCTTGCTTCAGGAACTGTGGCGACAAAAACTGGATTGGAACGAATCGGTTCCCATGAATTTACATACCAGTTGGAATGAATTCAAACAGAATTTACTAGAAATTGACCGGATATCCATTCCTCGACATATTTGTTTCTCTTCCTATGACAGTGTTCAAATCCATGGATTTGCTGATGCATCGAGCCACGCCTATGGCTGTTGCATTTATATTCGTACCGTGGCTGGGACAAATAGTTTGTCAAGACTGCTGACCGCCAAGTCGAGAGTGTCCCCCCTCAAAACCAAATCGATTCCAAGGCTCGAGCTGTGTGCAGCGCATCTGCTTGACAAATTATGGGCTCAAGTATTTCCCCTGCTTAACAAATTAGAGTTTGAAAGCATCAACTTCTGGTCGGATTCCAAAGTCACTTTATACTGGCTAAAGAGGGATCCGTCCACTCTAGCTACATTTGTTTCGAATAGAGTTTCTGAAATTCAAGAGCTCTCACAGAATGTTGTCTGTCGGCATGTGCCCACGGAAGATACCAGCCGATTTAGTATCACGTGGAACAGATATAGAGGGTTTAAAATAAACGCTATGGGAAAATGGACCAGAATTTTTACTCCGACATCCTAACGAGTGGCCTCGTTCTCATCAGACTGAAGTTTCACCGGAGTTACAGTTGTCCGAGAACAAGAAAAGCGTGGCAATATGTTCCGTCACAACAAATCAACCGAATGTCTTCATTGAGCTTGTTGGAAGATGTTCGTCATCCAATAAACTCCTGTGGATTATGGCATATGTAAATCGGTTTATTCAAGGGAAGAAAAATAATCGCGATATTGTTATTTCTGCTAACGAACTGAAGTTATCGTTTCTAAGAATGGTGCAAGTATATCAAAGAGCTGATTTTGGTTTAGAATATGTCAAGCTAGAGAAATCTGAAACTTTAAGCCCACATCTTCAACGTCTAAATCCTTTCTTAAACACTAGCGAACTAGAAGGCGTAACACTTTAATTAATCCGAGTTGGGGGAAGGTTGTTAAATGCACAAATTCCGTATGATGCCAAATTTCCAATATTACTGTCCTCAAAATCAGAATTTGTTTCGCTATTTCTTCGAGACCTGCATCGTCCTCATTACCATGCTGGTGCCAAGGTGATGGTATCACTTTCGAGACAGCAGATATGGCTAATCAATGCGCGAGAAGCGTGCACGAAAGTTGTCCGTAGCTGTGTCCACTGTTTCAAATACAAACCAGTGCTAATGGGTCACATAATGGGCAATTTGCCAGCCGATAGGGTCAAGTTAGTACGCCCCTTTTTGGTTTGCGGGGTAGATTTTTGCGGACCATTTTATGTGTCACTAAAGATCCGCGGTAAACCTCCTATCAAGACTTATGTTGCCGTTTTTGTGTGTTTTTCGTCAAAAGCTGTTCACCTTGAGCTCGTTGTAGATTTATCCACTGACAGCTTCTTATCTGTTTTTAAAAGGTTCGTCGGGAGGAGAGGGCTGCCGCAGAAGATGTACAGCGACAACGCCACGAACTTCGTGGGAGCGAGCAACGTGCTCAAGGATCTGAGCGCAGCGTTTCACCGCATTCAGGAACAGTTGAGAGGATACGCGGCTCAGAAAGGCGTCGAGTGGTATTTCATACCGCCGAGGTCACCACACTTCGGAAGACTGTGGGAGGCAGCAGTCAAGGCCGCCAAACACCGACTGCTGCGAGGAGTCGGCAACGCCAAGCTGACAGCGGACGAGCTCAGCACCCACCTGGTCGAGGTAGAAGCGCTGCTCATTTCTCGACCAATCGCGTCGCCAGGCAACGATCCCAACGACGGAGAGGCCCTGACTCCAGGACATCTAATTATCGGACAGCCTCTGATCACGCTGCCGCAAGAGTCCGGCATAGGCGGAATCTCCAGCAAGGCCAGTTGCGGATATTTGAGGCGGTGGCGAATGCTGTCCGATCTCAAGCAGCAGTTTTGGGCCAGCTGGTCCAAGGACTACATCGCCAGCATGCAGCATCGCAACAAGTGGTGCGTCGAGGGCCGCAATCTGGAGGTCGGGTGCCTGGTGCTCGTGCACGAGGACAACATGCCCCCGCAAAGGTAGCTTACAGGTCGCGTGGTGGCAACAACAGTCGGTGAGGACGGAAGAGTGCGTGTGGCGGAGGTACGGACGTCAGGCGGCATCATCGAGCGCGCCGTCCACAAGCTGGCATTGCTGCCAGTAAGCAACGCTCCTAATGAGGAGGTTAAAGCGCCGGAGGCCTTCAACGGGGCCGGAATGTTAGAGCAGTAGATTAAGTTTTATTGTTAGTTTTAAGGATAGATGAAAAGAAAGAATTAATTGAATTAACATTACCCGTCGGACCTCGAAGCAGCTGGCAGCAATAAACTTTGGAACCAACTTCGTTTCGTTTTTTCGCTTTCTTGGAAATTCCCCAGCCGCTAGTCGCAAGTCTTTTTCCTTTAAATTTTATAAGTAATTTTTCCGGGAAAGCTGTCCAGGATTTTCACTCATAGACCGAGTTGTTCATTAATTTAAAAAAATCTTTTTCAAATTCATTCTTGGCATTCTGTCTATGTAAATTATTTAAGTCAATATAAGTCTTTAGCCAAGGTTTTTAATATAAGCGAACCCCTCTATGAATACGAGGTCAGCTATTAATTTTGTAACTCTTTAGATGGAAAACTATTTGACGGACAAAACGGAAGAAATACATTCCTTTGTTGGATCAAAATCTATGACAACATTGTACTAAGCCCTCTCGAATGCTATTATCTACTAAAAACTCTAGTTGAATATTTGTGGTCTTTAACATGGCTGCCCAAGATAGACCTGGTGTAGTAAAAACTGAGCAACTGAGGGTGTAATGAATAAATTTGTAAACATATTTTTCTAAAATTTTCAAATATATCAGTCAATAGGAAAAAATCAGTTTCTAAATACAACTCTAGATAATAATAATCCTTTAGACTTGAAAAAAAAAATTGTGACCAGACATTATGTGCGTGTTCATAATCATCTTGAGAGCATTCCTTTTCTGTCAAGTTACTATAGAATGCTGCTATTGATGGTAGGGAAGTTTCCTCCAGTCGACTAGCTGAATCTAAATATTTATAAGGAAAGATACCCTTTTTACGCATAAGCCTGAATTCTATTTCATTTTAAAAAATCTTATTACTGTATTTAACTGATCATCAATTAAATTAGAAGCAAGGGTATCTAAACTTAATGGAATAAATCTGAATGTGTCAAGATATCGAATTTTTGTTTCCATTTGAAATTTTTATGGTTTTGGATACCGAAATATATTGTTCTTTATTTACTGGGATTGCATTAATGCTATCAAGATTTTTGCCAAGTCTTCAATAAATAAATGACAATCATACTTAGCAAAATTATGGAAAAGCTCTGGTATAAATTTACATAGTCTATACTCCAAGTTAAATTTAGAATGAGGTGCACCTAAATAAACCTGTTAAATGGCAATGATCCCTAACTCTATCATTTAATAATATTTTTTACAAATATGACAATTTAATGAATCCTGAAATTCAAACTCGTCTTCAGGAGTCATTATAATTGGTTTAAAATTCCAATATTTCGGGAATAGGTGATAGGAGTCCAAGATCATTACATTACGTTCGTAATTCATTCCGTTTTCCCCAAGTGCTCACTACTACCATAAAAAAGCAAAAATTTCAGTAACTGGGGGTCTCAATATAGACCCTGCCTAAATATTTAGAAAAAATTTGGCAAATAGAATGAGCTGCACCCCTAAATAAACCTGTTAAATGGCAATGATCCCTAACTCTATCATTTAATAATATTTTTTTACAAATATGACAATTTAATGAATGAAATAATAATTGCTTTAAAATTGTACCTGTTTTTATTACAATTTTATCTAGCTTAGAATCAAAGGCACACTTAATATTATATAATAAGCATAAGATATAGGTATATGAGAGTTTAAATTGAATAATTTTGGGCTTACTTCAATATTTCTGGGCTCCAGTACACATTCAAAGTCGGCGTACACGATGAACGAAACCTCAAGCTGCTTGCGGTATTGGGTAAACTCCAGAGTTCGCTTGTGTATTTCCGGTAGCTTGGAGACTTTTCCGCTCAGATCCAGAGAATTCAGACAAAATGCTTTCCAATTTCTATATTTCGGGTATAGGTCTTAGGAGTCCAAGATCATTACATTACGTTTGGTGTGTTTTGTGTCATTTGAAAGCATTTTTCAAGCCCTTTCCAATAGTATGCTTTATACGATTGTAAGTTAAAAACTGCAACTTTTCATTAAAACGCTTAAAAATAAATTTCCACACCTCCGCGCACAAGCAGATATCAGCACACACTTGAGGGTTGGGGTTAGTTCGCAGCTTCGCGCACAAGCAGACCCAAACGCACACTTGAGGGTAGGGGTGAGATCCCAGGTGGACTCGCCCAAGAAATAGCAAAGGGTCATGTCTTTCAGAAAACCAATGGAGGGAGGATCTTATAGAATACCTGACTCAGGCGCACACATACATACCGAGTATCCGTGCATATAAATATTTAAAATTTTAAAATCAATTCAGATAAACATAAAACTGATGTATTATAATCAGCCTATGTCCTATGTTCTAGCTACTAGAAATATCTTAGAAACATGTTCTCAGAAAACAATTACTGCAACGTTACTTGTATCCCTTTTCTCCTTACTTACTGAAATCTAAAAAATCTGAAATTTGAATAAACAACTTGAAACATTGACTTATACTTGACTATGCACTTTACAATTTTATTATGGTGCGTCCATGAACGTATATCGGTTCTCCATATCGTCACATTCTTTGAACACGTGCACTAATATTAAAAACTATAATTTATGGGTTTATGATTTCTGTGCCAGAATCCATACTGACTAAAAGGGCCTGCGGGGTGGTGAAGGAGAATGCTAATCACAGGAGACGACTGATAATGGGTTTCGGGGTGGGGGAAATCATTTTTTAATCCCTAAGGAGTGTCCTTTTTATATATGTGTTGGAATGGATCTTCCTCATCGGTTCCACATGTCATGTTTCCACACACATCTGGGTTTCCCACTTAACCATACACACGCACACACGTAGACAGAGGCTTACATATATAGAAATTGACAGTGTGTTTTGAGAAAATTCAATCCCTTAAGACGTTCCCAATCCTCCTAATTAGGGTCAGGAATACATTTCAATATTCCCAAATTACGGATAGGGGGGTCGGAAAACTAATCATGACACAATCGTCACATTTTATTACTTCTTTGAACACGTGCACTGATTTTAAAAACTATAATTTATGAGTTTATGATTTCTGTGCCAGAATCCATACTGACTAAAAGGGTGAGGGGGAATCCTTATCACAGGAGACGACGGATAATGGGTTTCGGGGTGGGGGAAAGTTTGTTGGCAAATCCATAGATATTAAAAAAGGTAATATAAAGTCAACTAAAAACATAAATTTAAATTTTATTGACAATACGGTTCTCGTGGTCGTGTGTTATGAGCTGCGGTGGCATCTCTGGAATATGATTGCTTAAATCTAACTTTCTAGCTTTGATAGTTTCCGAGACTATACTGCTTTTTATTTTCCGCGATTTGTGGGCGAGGAAAAAGTAAATAAGCTGTATTAGCACTATTGGAAACAGCATGCTTAACCCGAACATCCAATCACTTATAGTCACGGAGATCTTAGCGTTCCTACAAAAGTTAACCGTTTTTCGTGCTTAGTCGGCGTCGAAGTAATTCGGATAATTAGGTAAAGTGGGCGTGGCAAGACGCTGAAATAAAACTACGCTGCGTAGGCACCCCAATAATATGAATTCTTATTGTCAGGTGTATCAAAAGAATCGATAGCTGTAAACCCTTAATGTTAAGTCTCTTTAAGCTGTAAGCCCTTATTGATAATTTTTTGTTAAGTTGTTAGTCCGGATGTGATACTCGTATGTCTTACTTTTCCATTTCGATACTCGAGGGAAGCGAAAGTTGAGTAAGTAATATTATTGTGATTCCTTGGAATTAGAGGTCCAATTAAAAGATCGGCAACATTTCTTTAAACTCTTTACTGGAGAGGCAAGATTGATGGCGACATGGTTCCTCTGTCAAGTGAAGGATGAGCTCGTGACTGTTGGAGCCAACTGTGTGAGCATATGCTATCCGAAGTGTGCTGTTCTAGAGGATGGCGGAGAAGATGGATCTGTGTAGAGTATGATGTTGCTGTCCATGCACAGAACTCGATCAAATCAGAAGAGCTGATCAGCCTGATAATCGCCATGCTGAGAATGAGATTTTGGGCGATCCGAAATTATCATCGAATTTTCGTACATGGCTATGGCAGATGGCTTTAGAAGCGAGCCACGTGATAGTTCCGAGCTCATCGAGAAGAAAGGAAGAAGAGGCTTGGAACATACACACACTGTGTGCCGAGCAAGTCAGCTGTGCCGGCTGAGATAGAGAGTGAAAGCAAAGAGTGCAGTCGCGTTTTTAAATCGGTCCGTTTATTTTCTCAAGTATTCAACATAAAGCCAAATAAAGCACCTAGGGAAATCTCTGCCGATTTTTTTTAAATTATAAATCAAAAACTTCTGAATTTTATCATTGAAATTTATTGTTTTGCTCTTAAATAATTGATCAAATATAGTAAAGGCCGATCGAAGATCAGCAGGACATTACTGGTAACGGACCAAACTTCCAGCACAGGTGGGGTAATGGTGGGTAGGGGACCCAGGGGGCGCTGGCCTACACGGCTAATACCGACGGCTTCCATACGCCATTGTCCAGTCAACCTGATTGGTCTAACATGGGAGCTTACCATTCAAAAAAAGCAGCGTTCTGGAATAATGAAATAAAAAAAAGAAAGCAGTAGAAAAAGGCAGCCCCAAAGCTGATGATGAAGAGCATGTGCAAGTGTGTTGAAACAGCTGACTGACCTGGGATCGAAGGCCAGGGAGCTGAAGACTCTAATAGACGGAAAGCGGTCCATCTCAAACCCAATGAGGGATATAGTCGATGAAATTGACTATTTTCAGAGAGAAGTCCTGTCGGCTTTACAAAATATAACGAAAAACCCAAAAAGCTAAGGAGACTGCTAGAAAACTTGCGCAGAAGTGCTAGTAAGCGGCAACAACAAGCGACCCAGATTAAAAAAAAAAGGAAAACCGCAAGCAAAAATTGGTCCGCTGTAAGACACAATATTACTCAAAAAACTGCGCATTGCAGAAAGACTGCGAAATTTCAATAGGATATAATCCTAGGTAGCCTAAGGGCTTTCCCCGGCGGCGAAGTACAGTACAGAAAAACAGACATACAGACATACAGACATACAGACATACAGACACACAGACATACAGACATACAGACA